AGAAAGATTCCAGAGTAAGGAAAGAATAATTCTGCCATATGGTAGATATGCTCCCATTTGGATATGCATCTATCCTGACTGGGACTTACGTCTAGAAGCTGGTAAATCAGGTACAGCTTGAGTAACAGAACATCAGAGAGCCTTGCACTTTTACTCAAGAGAGATGACTGTAATCACTGCAATTCCTGTGCTGCTGACCCTCCTGGTGCGGGCTTCTTGTCCCACAGTCTCTTCCATGGGCATTCTTCAGCTCATGAGAACTTTAAATACTTCCTAATCTTTTATAAGTATAGGAAAGTGCAGCACAGCAGCTCTCTGAGATATAAGCTGCTGGGCAGGTGGCAGTTTCAGCTTGGATGCACCACTTGCCCACAGAAGCAAGTCACCAGCAACCAGTAAGCGAATGTTTGCCCTAAGAAAGAGCTTGTAACCAACTAAAGCACAGACCTTCCTCTGCTACACTGGCATGTAGAAGATCTACAAAGGGCTTTTTCTTCACAAAGGATCACTGTACAGAACTCTTCTCCTGGAGCTGCTACAGCCATGGTTTACTACCAGCATGCATTTGGATGAAGCACTCCACCAACCCATGGAGTGTTTTCAAACACTCTGGAACTGCATATGCAATATGCTGCTTTACTAATGGTTTAACTCTATGAGTTTCTTTTCTCCAGAAGTTTGACCATTCCTGGTGCCTCAGACTGGTATCTACTCTTAAATGAGGAGACGTGCTCTCGCAAAGCATTTCATGTTAGTGTGTTAGATGAAAGTTTTAGAGCAATGAAAACTCCACACCTTTTGTAGTAAACACAGGCCGCCAGCACGTACTATAATGTAATCTAGTAAAACAAAATAGTTTTGGGAATCTTTCAAATGCTGTGAGGGAACAGCAGGCTGTGGGTGGGCTGCTCTGCTCTATGAATTCTGCCTGTTAATACCCAGATGTCGAATGCCAACTTTCCATTCACTGCTGCAAAATAACAGACTGTCATGCAGTAAAAATAGTCATGGGAGGCATGCAATACATTCCAGTGCCTGTTTCATCTACAAGACACCACTGAGAATGTGTCTGTGTAAGTTCACTGGGCATCTATGTTACTACTATCCCCAAAAACAGGTTTTATGTCCATGACTGAAAAAATATCCATGAGTGAAAATTTATGTCCATGACTGAAAATTTGGATGTGGTGCTCAGGGATGTGTTTAGTGGAGGGTTGTTAGAGTTAGAGTAGCATGGTTAGGTTGCAGTTGGGCTTTATGATCTTGAAGGTTTCTTCCAACCTGAGCAATTCTATGATTCTATGATTCTATGTGGAAGAACTTAAAAATTGTGAGGGTACAGAGCACTGGAACAGGCTGCCCAGAAAGGCTGTGGAGCCTCCTTCTTTGGAGATATTCAGGACATGCCTGGGGATTTTCCTGTGTGACATACTGTAGGGAACCTGCTTTAGCAGGAGATTTGAGTGGAGAATCTCCAGAGGTCCCTTCAAATCCCTATTTGTATGATTTTGTGATTCTATGATGAAAGGAAGGGAAAGTGGTTCTTGTTTGCTTGTTGTTCCTATGGTAGCATTAATTCAAAATCTAATGCAACTGCAGAAAGCAGAAGATAACTTTGTCACTGTGCAACAATGGGAAAGAAACAAAGGACTGTCTACTTTCCTCTAATGCTGACCTGGGTTCTTTGAGAGAACAGAGAAAACTAGATTAGTTTCAGAACTTCTCTGTGACTGAGGACAGCATATTTCAATATAATAGATATTTTTGGCTCTAATCTACCATTTATATAACAGTACCACCTATCTTGCAGCCAGGTTTCATGCACTTGATGCTGCAGTAATTCCTTTCCCCTTACTTTTCATTTAAGTCTCAGCCAATATAAGGAATAGGAATCTAGTTTTCCTGTAAAGTCCACTAGCCATACCAGTTGAAAAAAAGAAAGAAAGCAGGAGAGATTCAGCATTTTCTCATGAGGCAGCACAAGACTTACTCTGATGACTCAAGTTGGACAAGCATGAATGCCAGAAGTACAGAACAAACCTTGTTTCAGTGCTGCTTATTCTTCTATTCTCACTTTGAATTGTTGGGTACAAATACTGCTCCTAGTGTACATATCCTTCAAAATTCTAAAAGTAAAGAACTAATCGTAATTATCAATGGATCATTACCTGAATCCACTAATAGATATTTCCTGTGACTACATCTTAATCTTTTACTTTTGAACTTGTACCTTCATCTTGCACTTCCGTATACACTTGCAAGTAATCAACAGCATAACTGCATGATATAATTTCACTATTTGTATCAAGTTCTTCACTATGGGCTATTCTGGTTTATTTCTGTTTGATACGGTGCTGGCGTTTTTTTCTGTCACGTGTTATGAAGAAATGCTGAATAATGGAGACCTTCTTCTTCTAAACACTTTTACAGATGGGGAAACTCATTAAATCATTACACTTACTTCTGTAAGTTTACTCATATGTGCATATTCTTGCAGGCTCCAAGCCGAAGTATGTGCTTTTTCATATCATGATAACAGGAAAGTCTAATAAACAAACAGCAGTCTGTACATTCATGCATTTTTGCTACCCCAGTTAAAATAAAACAGCTACCAAACAGAGGAGAACTGGCTACGTTAGCTTAAGACATTAAAAGCATGTGTATATCCTATAGAAGATTATTTTATTTAGTACGCAAGTCACATAAAATGAGCCAGAAAAAGCAGAACTGAACTGAATCATCCCTGCTGTGTTCAAGGCCCTGAAGTCCATATACAAATCCATAGCCAGTTCTACTGTTGCCCTAAGGTAGAGATACTTGGTACTTCCAGATAACTCAGTCCTACGTGGGTGTGTGTCCTCACTGCTGAATGTTACTCTGTCTTCAAACACATTCAGTTTTCTACTCTAAGTATTGCAGCTCACTCAGCTTAGCAGACCTAGTGTTTATAGTTTATCATATAAAGATAGATATTTCTCCTGTGCCACTGATGTTTGTCTAGCAAACTCAGAGATGTGAGAAAGGCTTTCTAAGGGGAAATTGTGCTCTCTGAGATCAGGATGGGTTGCACTTCTTCAAGAGGAAGGGAGTGGCTGCAAGTTCCCCTCTGTTAAAGCAGGGCATGGTTGCTGGTGACCAGAAGAAGATGGACATTGAGAACTTCAATGAGAAAGTTTCACACTGCTCTTAGAGCAAGTGCAAAAATTTTGCATCATTTCCAGAAGAGACAAACCCTAACTGTGTTGTGCAAGAAGCAAGCAAATGCTTTCAGGATGAGTTAATTCTGCCTCAGCCCTCCAGATAACATACCTGACATATTACATCTCCTGCTGGCCTTTTCTTTCTCAGCTTATCTTGATGGTTTGTGTTTCAAAGGGTCATGTTGTCACAGATGTACACAGGAATTAAATTAATGACTTGAATTTCTACTGTCCTGCCTCTGAAGTTCAGGTGTAGTACTGTGTTATCAAAATCAAAATAGATTTTTCTTTCTTTGGAGTTCCCTTGGAAAGATGCCAGGAAATTTCAGCTTGCTAGCAAGGCTGTCAAACACATCAGTGGTAACATGCTGACCCGTCATTTGTGGCCATGGCTGAAGGGAGCTCCATTACTTCCAAATATTTAATGATTTCATTTCATTGTTGCGGTTAAAGAATATAAAAACACAAACCACATGGACAAGGGTTTTGCTTGATTTCCTATTCTTTCAATTAATGAAGCAAGGCTTATAAGCACACAAGTTTCATTGCATTCAGTGGTGGTATTCATATAGGTGAAATTAAGATCATGCTGAAGTGTTCTGTTGGATAGGGTCAGAATACTTAGCACTTTGAAGCATTCACCACTAGACGAAATATGTATTATCCTACTTACTTTTGAACTTCAGTATGTATTCTCCCCATCTACTGCATTAATTTATGGAGTAAAGGATCAGGCAGTGTATGAAACTTAAAAAAAACACTCTTGCCTTATATTACTACAGATATAAAAGAATGATGCACATGCTCAGTATAAATTAATATTAGTAACAAGAGGGAGACTAGTAATATGAGTCAATTCTCACAGTCATGCTAATACATTACTTCCACAGTGCCTTACAAACTCAGCATGGATCTGCTTGTTTATATCCTTAGAGAACAGCTGCAGGAATTTCTCCAAGAAATCTCACAAGAAACCTGGCATAAGCAAACAAAATTGACCAGATTCTAGTCTACTGCTTCAACTTTGGACTGCTGGTCTTACTTCTTTCTTTTCTCACCTGCATGTTTCAGCTGGTAGATTTGTAGAATTGCAGCACCAAATCTGACCAACTTTCTACAAGTATTCTGCTAGCTGAAAAAAACTCTAAATTCACACTGCCTAACTGTCAGAAGGAGCAATTCTAGAATTAGTTTTGTGAGGGATAAGACCATTTTCCTTAACAGCTTTACGATCCACTGTTTGGAGTAAAATAGGGAAACACACACACACACACATTTAGAAAGAACAAACATTAATTTAGAGTGCAATGGTGAACTGATAAAAGGAAGAAATTCTACAGCCCAGGCCTTGTTTAAGGAAGTTGTAGATACTTGATCTGATGATGGCATCTGCTGTTGCATTTTGAAAAGTCATTTGCACAAAAGAAAAGTGAGTGCAAAAGAGTGCCACCACTCTTTGAAGTCCTTTTGGCTGTAGGAGGTGCAAAGCAATGGAGAATCTCACAAGTGTTGACTGAGTCATACAACTGCATCTGAAGGAGGAACTTAGCCCTCTTTTTAGCTCCCTCATGAAAAAAATCTGTCTGAGTCCATTCAACGCAGATACTGCTATAACTCTAGTTTGCTAATTGTGGGAGTCTGGGAGAATACATTTTGGGCTGTCTGTCTGTCTGTCTCTTACAGCGTCCCTAGGCAGATATTGTCAATTGCCACCAGAGAAGGGGATGGAGACATGAGTTAGGATATTTCTATTAACAGGAGAGACTATTCTTATGCAAAACAAAGGGAAACAGTCTCTACCTGTGTATATTTTCTTCCAGCTTTTTCACCTTCAGCTCATCCTCTTCTGACTGCTTCCTTCTGGCTTCTTCTTCCTCTGCAGAGCCAGCAGGAATTCCCTGCAGGAGCCATTTTTCACGAAGAGCTTTTGACTATCAGGAAGAAAAACAAAAACTTTAGCAACAGATAGGAAAAAAACTATCTTAAGACTGAGAAGGAGCTACATCTGCATCTGAATTTTAGGTTACTTCCATTGAATTACAGGCAACTGCTTTGAGCAGTGAATTTTGGGGAGTCTGTTAGACGCTTACACAAATTTAGTAGTATTGGTTTTGCAGTATATATTGTGTTTATCATCAATTCCTTAATTTGAAATTATTTTTTGTTCCTAATAGAAACAAGAGTTTAATCCACCAAAAAAAGTCGTTGAAAAAAACCTTAGAATTCTCACAGGTGATAAAGCATGCACTGGAAAGACTAAACTCACAGACATCTTAGAGCTTAAAAAAACAAACAAAAAGAACAAACAAAGAGTTTATGTTATAAGTGTAGTGCATTTCATGAAAGGTAAAATCACTCTATTACTAAATGAATCAAACTTTTTTTTTTTTTTTTCTATTTATATGACAGATCTCTGTGTATTTACTTACATGCATACAGACACACAACATGTAAATCTATATATTCAAGCAAGCACACACGTTATCTTTCAGCCAAAAACTGATTAAAATAAACAAATACAAGTCTTTCAGAAAGAGCGGGTATACAAGGATGCAGCGCTGCCACAGAAAATAATGATAACTTATACCCTAGAAAAGAATTCTGGGGAATTTTGCTGTGGTTTTCTACACAAAAACATGGTAACAACCTCTCCTAGCCACTGTGTGGTCCAGCTGTGGCTCACCCCCAGGAAGATCCGCCATGGACTTGCACTGCTGCCAAGCAATCCTTTCAGCAGCTCATCAGTCTGCGTGTCTTGGCCAAATCCATCCCAGGGGATGCTGACAGGACATGGCCTCATAGGGTTCACTTGGTGAAAGAAAAATCAACAGCCCAAAGCCATGCTGGGCTGTGGGCCTTGGCAAGAGGGGAATGAAGAGGTGGAAATATTGGTCAGCCAGGGAACTGACAAACTAACCCTTTCCTTAGCCAGAGAGGGGAGTCTTGATTCTGAATTTCCAAAGTGGTAGGAAATGCTTGCTCAGGAAGCATGTGAAAGTGTCCATCCTCTCCAGAGAAGTCAAAAAACCTCCAAATCATCAGTTCAAAGAAATCAAAATTTAGAGGCTGCTTGAATGTACACTGTCAGTCTTTTCAATGAGGGATTTGTAGCTGGAACAGAATCTGATTTTTGCAAACTGAGTATAAAGAGAATACACTCACCACCAAAAGTAGGCTTCAAACCAGCCCAAAATAGAAAGCTTTTTGACATGAGAGACTCAGCTTAGTTAGTTTTTCAGTGTATGTATAGGCGTAGCATCTATGCACAAGCTATTTTTATCTCTGCATGGCCTATTTGACATCAAGCAGTTACATTTTAATAAGGCAGCAGACACAGAGCAAAGCAAAAGACAAGTGGATAAGTCTGTTCTACTCATAGTTGCTGTGGTCTTTGAGGTGTTCATAAGACATTAAGGACATTACTTTCAGCCACAGCTTCTGCATTTCATTAGTCCTTTTGCTGTCACTATCACCCACTAGTGCTTCCGACTGTCTCTTGTGGACTGGTAGGAGTTCATCATCTCCTCCAGCCCTATGGCACTACTGAATTGTCCTCTCTCTAGGGAAGACCCCTAGAAAAACACAGAATCAGAGTACAATATCCAAAGAGGGATTTGCAGGTCATGACTTCACATCTTTTGTGTGCTACACATTTAAAAACTTGTGCTTATCTTTTGCATTTAAGAGGTCTTCACAGCACAGCTCAGGGGGGGGTATCTTCTGCAGTACATCGAGTCCATACAGTATGAAAGCTGATCTGTCCTTAGAAATTGTATGTCTTTTCTTTAAAATGGAATGTGGCATGCAGAAATTTCTTGCTGCATGTATCTTTTGCATGCAGGTGTAGAAATGTGTTTGCTGCATGTGTTGTACCCAGCTCTGGCCTCAAATCCGATACTTCGTGTAATGCTCTGCTGGAGAAAAGCTCCATATTCTAATGATCAAACTCTGAAAATGAAGGCAGCCTTCTCTCTTTTAAACCACTTGTAAATATGGCTCCAGAAGTCCTAAAAAGGCCTTTGGTAAAGTGCTGTTTGGACAGATCAAGAGATATTTAGCTTCCAGTCACTCCTCATTTACTATAGGAGGATAGATGAAATTCAGGCTTTTTTCAGTGTTCTTTCACAGAATTTGCATGATGACGTTCAGCCAGGAGAGGCCAGTCTCTTCAGTACAAACACTTTGTACCAAGAAAGATATTTTCTGCAGATTTCTTTTTGGCCTTTGTTTATGTGAAACATATGAGCTACAAACTCACATGATTTTTTTCTCCCAGAAGCCTCTTTTTTTGACCTATTAATAGCATGCATTTGAAACTGGAAAGCATCAATGGGATTTTATAAAGACATATTTAGAGACAAGAATCCTATGAAAATCCTCTTGGGTGAAATGTCAGCATATTTTATCTAAACCAGAAAAACTGGTAGCTTTGATGTTTTTGGCACCCCTTTGTAAGGTGAAAATGAAGGCAATCATTAAATACTTTGCTGAAGAGTCCAGACAAGAAGACTCTGTGAAATTGAAACATTTATGAGGACTACTTCCTAAAATTCAGAGAATCTATTTGCCAGTAAGATGAGGTTACATGTATTTATACACCCACTGCAAACACAACAGGCAAACATGCAGGCACACATTGTGGCACTATGCACAACAGCTTTGCTGGCTATGGGATCTATTCTTCTCTGCCAGATCCTTGGCATGACACTCAAGCAGTAGATTGAACTGGAAAAATCACCTCCTTCAAGCAAACATTTTCCAGGCCATTTTCATGAGAAACCTGGAAGGAAGGCTTTGGCACATCTGAAGTGACCAAGAGCAAACAAGGCAGAAGAGGGAGGTGGTGATACATCTGTGCGGGATGCTTTGACACACCTCCTGTGTGCCAGTCCTGTGAGGCAGTCAGCATCGAAGCTGACATGCCAGATGCAGGACAGAATCAGATGTGTTTGGAAAGAAAAGATGCTTCACTGCCATCTGTCCTTCACAGCTATGAAATCTGGATTACATATCTTCAAAATTTCTTGCAAAACTTACCCCAGAAAAAAGAGGTGTTCCCCAGTTCTGCTAAACAGAGAACACTAGCGTGAGAATAGAGCCTGAAGTCAGCTTGCCATCTGAGTTACCCCTAGTTAACAATATTGTGTTAGCAATGTTATACTTTATTAACAGTCTGTAATTAAAGCAGTCACATGCTAATATTTCAGCATTGCTCTTCCATCATTATCTGATACGTGCCTTAACTCTCTACTACATCTTGGAACTTCTCTATGCACCTGTGTTGTGCTGTATAGCTAGACATTGCTGAAAGGGCAAAGCACTGCAAGAGCAGGCAGTTATACCGCTGCAAATATACAGGCATTTCTACAGCTTGTTCCACTAATGGAATGTGAATATGCTCTACTATCAGAAAGCAACATTTCACTGGTACAGCAATCAGCTATGCTATGTACAGTTTGCTATAACTATTCCTTCATTTACTGAGAGAGTACAATTTCTTCAGGGCTAAATCCTTCATCAGAAATTAAATCATGCCATTAAAAAGGCTCTCTGCTACTGAAGTGGAAAGGGCACTGGGACAGCACTGCACTAGGTCACCGCAGCTCTCAGGTGATTTGGTTTTTCTGCACACAGGGAGATGGCAGAGATACCCAGCAGATTTGTGTTTATTTTGAAAGCGGAGAAAAGCAGAGCAAATTTTCCTCACTGTGCTATAAGAAAAAAATGTAAACAGGTCACAATTCCGTGAACAAATTGTGGAGTGAACAGAAATAAGTGAATAGATTTTGGAGAGAACAGAAAGAAGCTGTTGCCAGTGTTGGAATGTGACAACCACAGATGCAGTGCTCAGCTCCCTTATGTGCACTAAATTCCAGTTTCATACTTCAGGACAGTAAAACCCAAGGGCTTTAAGTTGTTTACATTTAGCACTGTCAAGGAAATAAAGCATAATGCCTTCAATGAACGCAGTAGAATTGCTGTACTGAAAAAAAAAAAATACTTTCAGTGTTGCATTTTACTTTAATATTGCATAAAACTATTGAGAGACAATTTAGTATAACAAGTAAATCCTTTTATCCTCACTACCATTTACTGATATGCCACCAAAGGACCTTAAGAGTCATCTGTGGATTGCCCCAGCTGGTGATCAATTCAACCCATCAGTCTTGCTGATTTTGTACCTCCTTTGATAAACATTGTTCAAAAAGAAAAACACATTTCTAGTCCCACACAATTGCAGTGTATTCATCTGATGCCCAGAGGCATTTGCCAGGTTTTCCATTTTACATTCTATGATAACATGAAGATAGTTGATGCTGTGCTGCTGCATTTTGAGGTCTTTTTCTTCTCTTTCCTTTTCACTTTTCTTATTTATAAATGTCTATAGGAACAATCACTGCCTCTCCTTGAGAGAAGTGCTTGCTGAAGTGCTTCCTATTGCAGCTCAGTAAATTTTCAAGGAAGCTGATAATCTCAAAAAGAAGTAAACATCAAAAGTTGACTGAAGACAGCCTCCTACAGTAAATATGCCTAATCTTGAGAAACACTGTCAGATTTGGACGATTCAGGATACTGATGCATTTTCTGTGCTGCAGAACAGGGGCAATACTGATCCCTGGTGTAATTGTATTGAAATCAGTAGTGCTACATTGAAGACGATATTAGTGAAATCTTTGCCAAATTGAAACGCTGACAAAAATGTTTGGATTTTGATGTTTGAAGATTGCTAAGCATTAACAATACAGTGCTGGGAACGAAGTGATTTCTCCCCTGCATGGATTCAGTTTTTCTACTCTACCAAAATATGGATGCGGGGGTCTGGTTCCTCATATTTTCAAATCCATGTGTATCTCATCGTCTAGTGAAAGACAATGCAACAAACCTTCTCCTCCATCTGGCAGCATGATAGTGATGGCAAATATGTCCCAAA